CATTTCCTTAAGAACCCGTTTTGCAAGGTGTGTTCTATCTCAAAGACCACTTCTGCAAGGGTAGCACACAAAAAGGATGCCAGATCAGACGACAAAGTCGACGTCCCAACCGCACCATTTCAACAGTTGGCTAGCGATTCTGTGATTCTTGCCATGGGCGATGAACATCTCGGAGTAGGTTTCGGAGGAATCAAATCCCACCATGTTGTACGTGATGTTTTCTCAGGCGTCCGCCTTGCATACCCCGTGAGTAGGCGAGACACGCAAGCGCATGTTAAAAACTTCCGTCAGTTCATGGGCCTTCGGGCCACTGATTCGCCGCCAGCATGTCTAATAAAAATGGATGCAGCAGGAGAGCTCGAAGGAGCGGCCCATGAAGTCGGTCTCGTCCCAGAGACAAGCTTGCCTAACAGGTGGCCTCACAATACCGTCCTGGAGCGCGACATTCGCGAAGAGAAGGAATGCTGTCGCAGCATCCACTTGCAATCAGGGTTGCCCTATTCGTTGCATACGTTTAGCTACCCATTTGCATGCCTCACCATGTCGTTCGACAGGCCTGCTCCATTCAGCCCCGGTAAAACCCAATGGGAAGCCCTCACAAAGGAAAAGTTCCAAGGGAAGAGATGCTGTTTCGGGCAATTGGTTTGGTACAGAACCAAGACTCCTGGCAAGCGCGCTCTCGATCCGAACATGGCGCCAGCGCTCTTTTTGGGTTGGAGGGTCGATCCGGGGTTGCGGTACCGTAACGTGGTCAAAGTCATGGACTATGAAGCCTTCCGTAAAGACGGTTCCATTTCCGTTCACGATGTTCCTGAACCGGAATTGTTCGTTGAGGACGGACCGCCAAGCTTTCCGACCGCAGCAGCAGCAGATAGAGCATTGCATGGAGGCAAGACAGAAGGGTCAGATCCCCCACCTTTGCCCCTGCGAGAGGCGCCCTTTGGGGCCCCACCGACTCCATCCGCTGTCAAGTCAAAATCCGTATACATAACTGTTGAGAGGATCATCAAGTTCAAAGAAACGCCAGGTTGTCGTGCATGCACCGGTCATTCCAAGATTCACAGTGCTGAATGCAAGAAGAGGTTCTCCGAACTTGTTTCTGCAGATAGAGCTGAAGCAGCTGCAAAAAGCGCTGCCAAAATTGAATCTAAGGAACCCATTCCCATTGTTCATACTGAAGGGGATGAGGAGCTAGCCAGAGCAATCCACGCATCCGAGCACGATAAAGATCCCGAGATCGCAGTTACTGCAGAAGACGTAGCGCATGAATTTGATGCAGCCGAAGCTGGGGAGCCCGCTCCCTCAAGACCCGGTGCCTCATTTTTCGATTCCGCGCCAGCGACAGCCGCTACATCGCTAGGTGAAGACTTTTGGGTGTTCAAAGAAAATGCCAACTCTTTGGTTCGGTACCATATCATGCCAAGGCAGAATCTTTTTACCCCGAAGGAGGTCGAGAATGGCCCCGTTTCCCCAGAAAGATTTACTGCAGCTCGCACCACTCGTGCCGTGTTTCAGGGGGGCAAAGCAGACAACATTCACGATGGTTGGTTTGGTAGCCGACCTAATCGCTCACTTGGAGATCCATGGACTGGGTTCACAGTGTTCAAGTTAAAACCCATTCAGTCCGATTGCGTTATCACCACAGGTGCAGCCGTGATGTTAGACTCCGTACCGCCGACACCTCTCACGGAAGCGTCAAAGAACGGTCGTCCAGATACATTGCCAATTTTTGGCATGCCGTGCAGCGCAGAGGTTGAAGCTCCGCCCCCCAAGCATTTTGAGGTAGGAAATCATCGTGCCCGCAAACGACAGGCACGCATCGATATGTTGCCTGTGATGTTTGAATACGCATGTTCACCAGAGTCCAATATGGGTCGCGTGTTTGAAGGTCTTGGCATACCTCATGTTAGGCTGGCTAAAGAGTTCATCGACCTTAGCACAGATGAAGGAGAAATCCAATTGCAGTCACAGATAGAAGGTTGTGATAAACCCAATCTCTGGGCTGCAATACCCTGCACATCAGGTTCAGCATGGCAACGCCTTAACAAGGCCAAGTCGGGAAGCCAGCTCAAAAAGAAACTGAAACAAAAAGTTAGAGAGTCGAGAGAGTTGTTCTCCAGATTCAGACGTCACGCTGAGACTGTCCTCCATCAGGGGGGTAGTGTTTCGTTTGAATGGCCAAGGGATTGCGACAGCTGGGCTAGGGATGATGTTTCTGCATTCTTTAGGGAATACGCACAGGTCTTCACCCCAGCGACCTTCCACGGTTGCGCCCTAGGTCTGAAGGACAGCAATGGTTACCCCATCAAAAAGCCATGGAAAGTCATGACCAGCAATAGCACCCTCGCATCCGCGCTAAGTGCATTCAAGTGTCCGCACGAAAAAGGGTATAAACACTCGCTTGCAGCAGGTAACAAGACCGCAAAGACCGCTTTCTACCCCGAAGGCATGTGTCTCACAGTTGCCCGTGCGCTGTATCCGACAGTTCAACCCGTTGTGCCTGCGATGCCTGTCCAAGTGCCATTGCCTCTCGACCACCGGGAACGTGAACAGCAGCTAAAACACATATCCCCTCTCTCTGGTTTGGAAGATATAGGTATTGCTGTCGAGTCCGATGAAAAGTGTCACGACATCCTTGAACAAGTTCTTGATGTTGAAAATCTCATCGCACATTCCCTAGGACAAGTCAAGGAGGAGAAGGATCCTGAAATCACCGCAATGGTGACCAGACTCTTGTCACGTGCCGAAATGTTGGCTTCCCCGGAAGCCCTTGAAGCCGTTCGACTTGAAGCCACAGGCCTGGAGAAAGCCGGTGTTTGGGATCTAAATTCAGTCCGAGAGTATGATCAACGATCCAGTATAAAAGTTCATTTCGGGCAGTTGATGTCGCTAGCATCCGTCAAGTTCGCCGAACTCGCGAAACACCTTCAGAAGATGAAAGGTAGGATTGTGTATCGCGGAGACTGTGCGAAAGACGAACATGGCGCAGCAGCTGTCTACCAAGAACTGGGAGCAAATCCCACGAGCGTACAAGGTCTTAATAACTGTCTCGCTTATGGATCCCTGCCAGGGAACTCCACCACAACAGCGGACGCTATAAAGGCTTATGTGCAAGCACTGCTGAAATCCAAGTACCAAACTTGGATCACACTCCCGCCTGAGCTCCGGCCAAGGTGGTGGCGCGAGCGTTTCGTGAAACCTGTGGTTTTGCTCGTTAAAGCTCTTTATGGGCATCCTGACGCTGGCGGACTCTGGGAGGCACACCTCAAAGGTTTCATTAGTGAACTTGGAGGGCGTGAGGTCGCAGAGTTTCCTGGAAACTTCTGGTTCAAGGAGTCCGGGTTACTTCTCTCGACATACGTCGACGACTTGACGTTGGCCGGCCCCAGCCACCTTCATAAAGACTTCTGGGAAAAGTTAACAAGACTGGTTGATATAGAACCCCCAGAAGACATATATCGGGTGCTAGGCAGGAATCACCTTTTGATAGATGCTCCAAAGGACCCAACTGAACCCGATCTTAATGCCGCAATGGGCAGATTGAAAGGGGGCATGGCGTTCGACATGCGAGATTATGCTCGTCAAACGGTTGCATTATATCTTGAGGTTGCACAGCTAAAAACTGAAAAGTTGCGTGATGCCACCACTCCATTCTGTCCCGCTGGATCTCTAGACCCCGCAGATGACGCCTTGGAGGGTGAGCTCGGCTTCGCCGCTTGCCGCGTGTTGATGAAAGCCTTATGGTTGGGTCGTTTGGCACGCCCGGACCTGGTCAAGCCCATTGGCGACCTTGCTTCCTTTGTTCAGAAATGGTCTAGGAACTGCGATAAGCAGCTACATAGGCTTGTCTGCTACATAAACAGCACGGTTAACAGCACGCTAGTTGGCACAGTTCAGGATTCGACTGATGAGTTGCATCTGTCTCTCTATGTGGACGCTGATTTCGCTGGAGAACGAGACGCAAAGTCAACGTCCGGAGGCTTCTTGATTTTGAGTGGTCCACATACGCACTTTCCCCTCGCGTGGGTGTCTAAAAGGCAGACCTCGGTCTCCCGATCGACAACCGAGGCGGAAATCGTATCTCTTGCGTACTCCCTGTACCAGGAGGCACTTCCTGCGCTCAGCTTATGGGAGCTGATCTTGGACAGACCATTCCATCTCAAGATCCACGAGGACAATCAGGCGACCATCCTCGTAGCAAAGAAAGGTTTCTCATCCAAGCTACGCTGTGTACAACGCACCCACAAGGTGAACCTCGCTTGCGTCGCAGAGCAGATTGAAAGCGAACACATCTCAATAGAATACGTCCAAACAGACATGCAGTCAGCAGACATCTTCACGAAAGCACTTCCACCCAACAAGTGGGACCATGCCATCAGGTTGCTCGGCATTCGTGTTGACCTCCCAGAGAAGCTTGAAGACGTTCGTAGAAGCAGATCCGCTAAAGCAGCTGCCTAGTGCGCTGCAGCATGTCCGCAAAATTTCCAAAAGTGTGCAAGTGACTGGGCGATGCTTGAATAACTTGCGTCAGTCGTTGTGATGTAAACTTGACTTCAAGTTGGCGTGGTAATGCGCCCAAGACACTCCCTCAGTGCCGTCAATGAGGGGGGAGTCAATTATCACGATGACATTTATGGCAGAGGTACGTGTTATCTTGTCCCATGATGTACAAACAATTCAAGATTGATCAGTGACATGACCACATGTCATTGCTTTGGCTCAAGGAAAAGAGCGCGTTGCCCGCGCTGCCACAAGGTTAAGGGAGAGGTCGCAGTCACGGCGGGGTTCGTTCCTTTTAAGGTCCCGGGTTCCCCCGTTGTTGAGAAAACTGTGTTTCCCTCTCCTTTGAGTTTTCTTACACACTCTCACGCTCCCTGACACTCTCTCACACTCTTGCACACTCTCTCACACTCTCTGACATTCTCTCACGCTCTCTCACACTGTTGCTCACACCCACACCCACACACACACACTCCCCCATTCCTGGGATTTGCTGCGAGGCTTGTCCGATCCTGGATGGAGAGATTCGGGTGGAACTGACCCCGACTAAGAAGATGCTTGGCCTGGGCTTTGTGCATTGCAAGTATGCCACGGTCTACAATGCAGGTTGATATGGAACCCACGGCAGCATCCTTCGATGCCTTTTGGGACATGGATCCCTTTTTGCATGCAGATTTGCGGGGCAATGGGCAAGTAACTGATCACTGGACGCTGTTGGCCTGCGCTCCAGAGTGGCTATGGATCTTGCCGCGCGAAGTGGATGGTATTATGATTTGGCCTTCGGTAGTTTGCCTTTGGTGCGCTTTGTTTCTGTTTTGGTTGGGTTTCCGCCTTTGTCCCTGAAAACCCATGTTTTTTCCAATCCACCGAGCCAGTGAGTCCTTGGACTCGCCAGCTCAGGAACCAGCAGCAGCAGTCGCCCTCCCTGAGGAACATCCTCGGAGCCAAGCTGGCGATTCCGAGCCCTACTGGCTCAGAAGGCGACTTTTTTGTTTGAGTTCAGAGAAGTGAATCTGCACCCGATTCCTCCTATCAGTAGCGGTAAACAAGTATGTTTACCTATATTGTGCATGGTTGCCTTGTTAAAATGAAGGAATCTGGACCCAGCATCCCATGAGCTCGCTTGCGGATGGGATAGGGACACCAAGTCCCAGCGCTTCCAAGGCACTACAGGCAACCAAGTATGTTTGGTAACTGGAAGCTCTGGGCTGGATGTGGGCTTGCCTTTCCATATGGCACCCTACAAAGGGGTGGCTTCCTCTGGTGGCAACACTAAAACGACTCCCAAGAAGATGCACAGAAGACGCACAGAGATGGATCGTTTCAGCTCCCAATCTTGATGTTTGACAACCAGCCTTTGCCATTTGTCGACCTAACAGGCGTTGAAACGCGAATCTTTGTGGATTGTCCGGCTCCAAAGCGGCCTTTCTTTGACACCTTTCCCTCGACACCTTTTTTTCACTATTCATCTCTGCGCAAAGTCTAACCAGCTCATCTTTTGACGTGAGCTCACCCTGAGGGGTTTCCGTGTCCAGCTTAGTTTGACTAGATCCCAATCAGGTGCCGCTGCTTTCGGCTTGTTTCTTAGGCGAGGCTCCGGTCGAGGGGACCAACTCCAACCGGATGAGCCTGAGCAAGGCTGTGAGCCTTACCAAGGCAGTGGCGGCGCTGGGGGCAAGGCGCGGGCTGTCAAAAATATAAAATTGAGAAAACAGGAGCCCGGGCAACCCCCAAGACCCGTGATGACCCGTGTACCTTTGTTGATTGTGAATAGTCCGTGAAAATCCAAGAATGCCATCAACGAGAAGGCATGCAAATGGTTGTGCAACAACTTAATGCAAAACAGAGGAGAGGAGGGAGTTGTGACTCGAGAGGTTTGAATTTAATCGGTGGGCTCCCGTTTGTGTGACGATCTGAAGCACTTGCAGTGATGATGGGCGCGCCGTCGCTTGTGGAAACCTGGCGTGACTCTTTCGGAAGTCTCATGCGCAATGCGGCCTTGGTTCGGGTGGCCCTGGCAGTCGCTTTGGTTTGGAACTCAAGAGGGGACCGACCAGTTTGTCGGGTTTCTCATGACCAATTTTGAAGGGGCCGTTGCGGGGTCGTCGCACACTTTTTTTTGCGAACATGATCATCGATCGAGAAGTCCAGAAGTCCTGCGGCCGGAAGAGGGCAGTCCGCTTGAACAGCCGTTGGATTCTTGGGATGGGTTTTGGGCCCACCGTTTGGTACCAGGGTGATATATGGCAGGAAGCCCCTTGAACGTGTTTGTCAAACTTGTTTGGGACAGCGCGTTTGATACTAAATGTTCTTGGCCCAAATCTGGTGTACACAAAAACCCACAGCACTTTCAGCTAGTCCTGCATTTAGTCCTAGGATTCCAAGACCCTTTTGGAGGTCCTTTGGGGTCACAGGTCCTAAGGTGGGCCTACCCTTTCCCCAGCCGAAGTGGAGGGGTTCGTTCGCTGCCCGAGGCGGGGCTCCCTGGCGATGCAGCGCCGGAACTCCGCGACCATGGCGGCGAGGCGTCGGGTCGGGGGTCTGGGGGTTTGGGGGCTTGGGGGTTTGTGGGGTTTGTGGGGCATGGACACCTAGAGGATATTTTGTAGTACCAACCCGTTTGATTGAAGGTAGATGCATTCCGCTGATATCTGGGCAAATTCTGTGGGGGGAGCCATGAAGGACCCATGAAGGATGCGTGAAGGACCCACGAACAAGGCCATTCGCTGTGGGGGGGTTCCCTTTCCGGTTTGGGAATAGTAATTTGCCCAGATACGCTTGTGTGTTGTGTTAAACGAACCGGACACCAGGTCAGGTAACATGTAATTGATTGGTTTGAGCCCCTGGTTCTTGTACATGGGAAACCACCCCTAGAACCGCCAATTGAAACCACCAATTAGAGCAAAGCCGACCACACGAAGGTTTCCCCTAACAAGATCCTTCCAAAATGGGCACACCAAACGAACCAAGAGGGACCAACCACCTTCCGGATGGACACAT